ATATGTTATCACATCTCGTATTGCCCCTCATTGTGTGGAAACAAACCAGCAGCGATATCATGTCAGTTTTCTTCCAGGTCTGAAGATCTCCTATGATAGCAATAAGTGTTGGAATCAGTATGAGTGTGAACAATTCTCTGGGCTTCTACATGACAAGGATCGTTGTGGTGCCATGACGTGACTCCTTTTCTAAGGCCTTCCTGGTGGTAACATGGACAAAACTGTGGTGAAGAAACTAAGTTCCCCTTTCTTGTCCTAATAGTTTCCATAGCAACAAGCAGGTATTAGTGATGAAATGTAAGGGCTATGGTTCTGGAGAAACGTGTGACTAATGTGCTTCCATACTTTACTATTCCCAGCTGCTGGATAAATTATTCTGTTATGATTCAGAGCACTGACAATTGGGTGTATATCAAGTTGGCTGCTATAGCTTCTTCCAGGAATCAAACATTCATGTCTCCAGTCCACATCTGGGTATCAAACCACACCATGGAAGCCACAAAGGGAATATATTCCCTTCAGGCATATATTCAGCATCATGTTGTTTTTGTTGTTGTTATAACACTCATTCAAAGGTTACAATACAGCTTGGTCCATTGCTATAATATCACAAAACGATCACTCCAATCCTCAGTCCCACATCACTGTCATGGTGGCTCGCCAAATATCCTCAATAGGAACCCAACTACCGATCTGCTTGGCTAGACATTTTCAATCAAAAGATCCCTCCACAGACACCTCTGTGATGATGATGGCTTTAAAATATCCTGTTCTCCTTCAATAAAAGAGAAAAAGAGAGAGCAGATTGTGTCAAAGGTATCTTTCCCCCCCTTACATTCTGGAGTCATTGCTTAACTTATCATGTGAAAATAATTAGGATAAAGTGAAGCTATTCTCAAGACAAAAAAGGTGAGACCTGGGCAGAACTGAGTGTGTGGCTAAGCTTTTGCTGTCTTAAGTAGTAGCTTCAAGTGATTCTGTTTCCCATTCAACCATTATGTTGTACTCAGGAAGAAGAAGAAGAGTTTGGATTTGATATCCTGCTTTATCACTACCCGAAGGAGTCTCAAAGCGGCTCACAATCTCCTTTCCCTTCCTCCCCCACAACAAGCACTCTGTGAGGTGAGTGAGGCTGAGAGACCTCAGCGGGAAAGCAAACCCAGTTCACCAGATTACGAGTCCACCGCTCTTAACCACTACACCACACTGGCTCTCATATATTGCTCAGATGTCTGCTCCCGTGCTTACTGAAGAGGACTCTTTGACCCAGTTTACCTTTGTCTATGGTTAATTTAGGATACCTTTCCAAAGAAAGCATCTTTATCAATGTTGTGTATAGCATAGGTAACGTGTGAGGCTGAATTGCCCACAAATTTATAGTAGGAGTCATAGCGGATGTGTAACCTGCAACTGGTCAAGACACAAAGATGCAAACATACAAGATGGCGCCCTTTTACTCTGTATAGTTAAATATGGAAGATTACTATACCATTCCTTCTGGAATATCAATTACAAATACCACTTAGACTGTCCCACTTTACCAGTCAGCTTGCATTGCAAGATGGTTCACTGGGGCAACTGCCTCATTCCTTTACTGTTGGCAGGCCAGCCATCAGGCCAATCGCTCACCAATTACTGTGCTCTTCCTTGCTCATGACAAGGCAGGTGCACCTTTGCCGTCTCTGTAGTTTTACATAATAATGATGATAATAGACTAGAATTGATATAATTGTACAATTATCAAAGCACTTTGTGAACAGTACATTATCTCGAAAAAAGCCCCTTCAGGGTCTCTCTTGCCAGGAAGCAGAGTATACATTTAAGTAATAAGAGATCTGTATCATCACCATATTGAAGACAGAAAGGCTGCGCATGTGTGTGAGAGAGAGTCTTGCCTAACGCCATCTAGTGAATTCGTTGCAGAGGTTAAATTTGAACCAGGGACTTCTTGACTTGTAGATAGCTCAGTTGGTTAGATCAGCTTGCTAGCTGGAACACTAAACCAATGGTGTCTGGAAAACCTAGAATGAAATGAATCCCATTTTCCATCCCTCCCTAGTGCAACGGATTGACGGGCTGTGCCCTAACTTTCCATGAAATGCATTACAGTCATTGTAAAAAGAATGCTCCCCCACCCTTGATCTGTGGGGCTCGTCATCTGAGAGAAGAAGAAGAGTCTGGATTTGATATCCCACTTTATCACTACCCGAAGGAGTCTCAAAGCGGCTAACATTCTCCTTTCCCTTCCTCCCCCACAACAAACACTCTGTGAGGTGAGTGGGGCTGAGAGACTTCAGAGAAGTGTGACTGGCCCAAGGTCACCCAGCAGCTGCATGTGGAGGAGCGGAGACGCAAACATGGTTCCCCAAATTACGAGTCTACTGCTCTTAACCACTACACCACACTGGGAAGTTGGTCTAGGGAACTGGGCAGGAGGCAACAGTGCTCTCTTCTTTGTCTCCCACCATTGTCTTGTGATGGCTGGAATTTCCAAAATTGTGAAGTAAAATGGTACTGGTTTTCTGTTGAATAGGGAGCACTGGGCTCAAGTATTTCTGCAGGTGACTAGGTTCAAGAGTGAGCCCAGCACTCGAGGGGCACAAGCAGTACAGTGCCGCTTCAGGTTACAGACGCTTCAGGTTGTAGACTCCGCTAACCCAGAAATAGTACCTCGGGTTAAGAACTTTGCTTCAGGATGAGAACAGAAATTGCACAACGGCAGCACAGCGGCAGCAGCGGGAGGCCCCACTAACTAAAGTGGTACCTCAGATTAAGAACGGACCTCTGGAACGCATTAGGTTCTTAACCTGAGGTGCCACTGTATGGGCCAGTTCCTTGCGTGCCAAGAGTAGAGTGATTGGATCTCCCCTTCACACCCCAATTTTAACTCCTCCCAGTTGAATTCAATGTAGTTATGCAATAAAGACTGTGACGGTGATTTTAGTCCCTTATTTGCAGCCGCCTCTTCATTGCTGCCTCTGTGAAAAGAGACCATGCAGCATACATGCACATGACAGCCTTTGCGTCTTGCCCATTCCTTTGATGTCCATTGACAACACAAGCACTTCTCAGCTGCCAGCCTAGTGCCAACAAAGCCAACATCCCAGGTATCCCCCAGAGCCTAAAACTCAGGCTGAGTAGTTGTTGTTCTTGATTACGGAAGCCTGAAAAGTGTGTAGCTCTACTTTGACTTAGATTGCTCTGTGCATTGCGGTGGTCAGGAGATAGATTACGACCAGGCTTTGTGCTCACTGAGCAACTGAGCTGCCGGTTGGTACCGCCTTTCCTGCGACTTTAACCTCTCTTTTTTGGGGTGTGGGGGGAGAAGTAAGTGTGATGAAAAGCAAAGAACAGCAAATCTTGGGGATTTTCCTAGGCCAGGCCTTTTGCTGCTGTTCTGACCCTCTTCTGTCACACTCCTCATACATCTACCAAGACTGTTCCCTTCGGAGGCTTTGGTTGTGATTATAGGGATTGAGTCTCAGCAGGGCCACAAGAGGGAAATGAAAATGTTCTTTGCCTTAATCGCTGCTTCTTCATGGCATGTGCTGCCTTGTGCGGCCATCAGAAGCTGCTGTTTTGCCGAAGTCAAACATTCCGAAAGGGATGAGCTTCGGAGCTCCTTGGTCAGTTGCTTTTGTGTGTGTGTGTGTGTGTGTGTGTGTGTGTGTGTGTGTGTGTGTGTTCAGGTCCAGTTTTTGCTCCTTGGAGCTTTCAGTCAGCACAATGTCTACCCTAGCCTCCGTTAAAGCCTGTTTGTGAACTGTGTCTCTCAAGCCTGCCTTTGCCGGGTAGTGGAACAAGAGAAAGTCACTTGAGAGAATGTTTTCTATTAAGGGCTTGCATACCCTCCAACATTTCTCTGATGAAAATAGGGATGTCCTATTCCATTATTATTATTATTATTATTATTATTATTATTACCCCACACATCTGATTGGGTTGCCCCAGCCACCCTGGGTGGCTTCCAACATATATTAAAAACATAATAAAACATTAAACATTATAAAACCTCCCTATACAGGGCTGCCTTCAGATGTCTTCTAAAAGTTGTATAGTTACTTATCTCCTCGGCTTGGGGGGGTCACATAATTCCTTACCCTCCAACATTTCTCCAATGAAAATAGGAACTTCCTAAGGAAAAGCAGGATGTTCTGTCATCAGATCAGAAACCAGGACGGCACCTGTAAATCTGGAACTGTCCCTGGAAAATAGGGACACTTGAAGGGTCTGGGCTTGGGGAGTACTGTTGGCGAACGCACCTCTGAAGCAAGAGAATTCCTGGTTAAGGCAGTGAAATGGGAAGTTGGGGGAGGGGGGGGAACCTACCAAGGAAAGGAAACAACATTTTCTTGAAGCTGCTAAAAGATGTTGTTTGGCTCTCTCTAAAATCCTAGCCACGGGATGAGGGAGGCAGCTACTGGCAAAGTGAGACATGATTTATGAAAATAGTGAAAGGACTTGGAGAGGCTTGGCTTCTGTAGCTAGCATTTTGCCAGATAATTTGAGCCTTCATGTAGGAAGGCAGCCTGGAATGAGCTGGATTCCGTTCCAATCTGCTTGAAGCTTTAAGTGCAAGTATATGAGCCATTGCCCTGCACCCCATCTGGCTAGGTGACGGACTGCCAGATTGCCTGGTGGTTTGCTCTCATTATAATACTGCACAAGACAAACAGGTTTGAGCCAGGATGTAGTGGGACACTTCCAAGGAACGTACAACCAAGTAAAGAGAAGGTCTCTGCATTACATGTTTAGCCTTCCGGCATCTGATACATTGTCCACCCTGCATCTGCCCTGTAGTGATGGCACATCACTATTTATTTATATAGCCCATCTTTACAGCCTGCATTGTCCATATGGCCGGAACAGCTAGCAGAATGGCAGCATAAAATATTGCAATATACTGACATCAAAATATAAGGCTCATGCATTTAAAAACATATTGCTTAAAATAATCCACAATGCTCTTTAAAACTTTTTTTTTTAAGTGAAGAGAATGAATCCCTTTGTGTTTATTTTTTGTGAACAAGGAAGGGGTGAAATTGTGCTATAGGATGTTATCCAAGTTAAGGGATCTCATGAGCGCTTCCCCCCAATGGAGACCGTGAGATTTCATAGATGTGCTGTTCTTGAGCCGTCAAAAAAGCAAGCCGAGCTGTTTACATCCTTACGGGAGAGAAATGATTGGGGGCAGACAGCACACTATATCCTTGCCTGGTTTTTGACAAGTCCACTTTACACTTGAGCAGTAAGATTGAGATCAAATGGGAAAAAGGAAATTGGTCTTTTTCGTGCTGCTGTCTGACTGCCACTTGGAACGCCTGCAGAAAAGCCTGCAGCTAACTTCCTGCCCGACTGTTTCTCTGTTTGAGACCTCTTCATAGTTACAGTTCCCAGTTGCAACAAGTCCATGCTTGTCCATGCCTTTCCAGATCCCTTTGAATTTCCTAAGGGCATTACATTGTGCCTGGCCACATGTCCATCAAAGTCACCCACCCAGGCTAAAGCTACTGCCAGTCACTTTGGGGTTGCTTAGCCTGATGGATGGGAACTGTTCGCACCTCCTGCCTTCCTTCAGTCTTCTAAATGGCTTTGCACTTGACGATTATGCCTGATGGTGTCCTCAGAGGTCTGAATTCTCTCTGTGTGTAAGGGACGGGGACATCTCCAAGATGATCTGCTTCAGCAAAGTCATTATTTCCAAATCCCCACCACTTCTACTTCCTGTGGTTCAGTGGGCTGGAGGAAATGCCAGGCGAAGGCACTGCAAGCAAAATGTATTAGAAATAGCAGAAGATAAAAAAGGCCCCCTGAGATGTGAATCTAACAATGTCTGCACATCTTCCCCTCTCACGGCAAGAAAATGTGCAGGATGAATCTTAACTCTTATGAAGCTACCTGCTTTTGAGAACATAGTTCCCACCAATGAATCAAACATGTGACATTCCTGCAAATCTGAGACCCGCTCTAAAAATTATGTTTGCAGACCCTCCAAGTGTCCCTCTTTTCCAGGAACAGTCTCAGATTTACAGAAGCCGTCCCGGTTTCTGATCCCGGAATGTCCCGCTTTCCTTTAGGATGTCCCTATTTTCATTGGATAAATGTTGGAGTGTATGGTAAAGGTAAAGGGACCCCTGACCATTAGGTCCAGTCGTGGCCGACTCTGGGGTTGCGGCACTCATCTTGCTTTATTGGCTGAGGGAGCCGGCGTACAGCTTCCGGGTCATGTGGCCAGCATGACTAAGCTGCTTCTGGCGAACCAGAGCAGCACACGGAAACGCCGTTTACCTTCCCGCTGGAGCGGTACCTATTTATCTACTTGCACTTTGACGTGCTTTTGAACTGTTAGGTTGGCAGGAGCAGGGACCGAGCAACGGGAGCTCACCCCGTCGCGGGGATTCGAACTGCCGACCTTCTGATCGGCATGTCCTGGGCTCTGTGGTTTAACCCACAGCGCCACCTGCGTCCCTGGAGTGTATGGCAAGTCATACCTATTTTCGTTGGAGAAGGGTTGGAGAGTATGTGTTTAGAGTTTGATGCCTTCTAATAAAACCAACAGAAGACGATGCCATGGGGCCTGCATGATGTTCAGAATTCAGAGCTGGAAAAGAGGAGACTGAGGAGATATGGTAGCCATCTTCAAATATCTCAAGGGCTGTCACATGGCAGATGGAGCAAGCTTGTTTTCTCCTGTTCTGGATGGTAGGACTCGAACCAATGCCTTCAAGTGACAAGAAAGGAGATTCAGGCTAAACATCAGGAAGAACTTTCTAACAATAAGAGCAGTTCGACACTGGAACCATCGCCCTCGGGAGGTTGTGGCTGTCCTTCCTTGGAAGTCTTACAGCAGAGGTTGGATGGCCATCTGTCATGGATACTTTAGCTGAGATTCCTGCATTGCAGGGGGTTGGACTAGATGACCCTTGTGGTCCCTTCCAACTCTACAATTCTATGAATCTATTATTATGTATGTGAATATAAACCATAGATCATAAAGACACCAGAGTCTCTGCTGTTTCTCATTCAGGATTTGTGTTTCCTTTTGGAATAAGTGCCTGGAACCCCTGGAATCTTGCACCGCTCAGAGGTTGGGGTGGTGTCCAACAGTATTGGGGGGGTCAGAGAGAGTAATCAGTTGAAAGGAAGCTTGCTTAAATAAAGTTCCTTGTTTTAGAATACTCCTCCTTGATCCTTAATGATAATGAACACCACTTGAAACATCTACAGTGGCTAATATCCTCCCCTGCCATACCTGACTCCGTTTCTATTCTTTGCTCTCCTCACACACAGTGTGGAAATAAGATATAAATGATTCCTTGCAGTTAAGTGACTGTATGTAGGTTAGATTGCAGAGAAAAATTTGACTGGACAATGGTGGCACAGGTGGCATGTTATGCATGTTAAGTAAGCCCTTCTCCCCCACCCAGTGATGGATTTACGTATAAGCTAAACAAGCTATAGCTTATGGCCCCACTCTCTTGGGGCCCCCCAAAAAAATTAAAGGAAAAAAACACCTGGATGTACATTTCCAAAATATAAGATAAAAAACAAATAAAATGAAACCTACATACAGCAACAGTGTTTTGTGTTGTGTAGGCTCCTATGATGTAAGTAATGGACCCCACCTGCTAGCCTGCTCCTTAAAATATCACTGTTTTCAGTTCAACAATTACTTTGATAAAATACATATTTTATTATGTGCGAATGGCTTTCGATACCTATTAGGTCCAGAAATTACCATATAGCATTTATTCAACACAAAAAACAGCAACAATTTGTTGATGACAAAGGACAGCTGGACATATAAAGGGCCCCATTACCTTCAGTAGCTTAGGGCCTCATCAAACCTAAATCCGGCCTTGCCCCCCCCCCCCATTGTGTACTTGAGCAAAGTTTGCAAACGTGAAACCTGATGCAGGGCAAATGATAGACAGACCTTTGGATGAGGCCTGGAAGTGATGCTTGCTCATCTCTTTGCCTCCAGCTAGGGCTTTGTGAAGAGTTGTTGTTTGTTCTGACATTTAGAATAGATTAAAAACCGTTACAGGCTCTTCTGGAAAATTTTAGAAGGTGAAGTTATTGATTTGGAAAAACCCGACATCAGTTTTGTATATGAGCAGGATGAAATTCTGTCATGAGCACCGAATATCAGGTCTGGGTCGCTCCAGCCCTAGACACCAAGCAGCTCATGAAGAAGGCCTTGAAAATACAATTGGCACCATGCACAGAACAAAATGTTTTGCATGTCACTCTAAATGCTTGAAAATGAAATTTGCAGGGGCAAGCAAAAAGATTAAACTTACATATAGCTGGTATGGCATGTATGTGGCAGAGAACTGGCATGAACAGAACTTTCAAGTGACTACCACAAACCTGGTAGCCCTTTAAGTCATCTCTTGGCATCTCCTTGTAGGGGAATGTTATTTGGTGCTTCAATTATTTTCCATAACAAGTTCTAGTAACGCTAGCAAAGTGACAATAACACCACAGGAAGCCTGGCATGTGGGCTTGTTTCTCTGTAATGCAAGAACAAGGAAAGCATATTATATGCACTCATAAGCTATTCCATAAATTTTGGAATGCTTCTCCATATCTTTACACCTTTTCACATATTATTTTTTCAACGCCAAAGACATTTTAAGTGTGCTCCTGAAATGGAACAAATTTGTTTGCAAAACCTGACATGCAAATATACTCATGACGACTTCAGCATCTAGCTTTGTCTTGTGTAATATGTGAAACACTCTATGTAATGCTGCAATTTCACCAACTCTAGCTTGGATGTCCAGTTTGTGCCCTCTCAGGGGTTGACCAAACCAGTTGAGTCCCTGGATTCCTTTAACGGAATACCCTTCACATAGAGATGGCGAGACCCTTCTTCCACCCCTATCACATGAAGCAGTGGCTATCCGCAACCTTACAAGTTGTGACGATTTGCTACGTGGCAGGCGAAAACCCAAATGGCAACAGCCAATCAGCCAAGTGGGGAAAATTCCTGCCGTGCCCCTGTCCCAACGACAGATGACACACGACGGCATAGCAAGGTCAGTCGCAAAATGCCCTAAATATAGGGAGAGGTGGGTGGGTGTTCCGATGCACGTGCCGAAAGAGGAAGCTCTGGGTCACGTGCATGGGTCTATATAGGTCCCTTGATCTGTTTGGACTGCGCCCCATTGGCCAGATTGAACCCAACATCGAGGGACCTACCAATCGGGTGTTGTGGCTGACCAATGTTACCCACCCACAACACAGGGGATTGGTCTCCATGTCTCATCACAACATGTGCCCTCTTTTAGGGAGGACACAATTTGTGCCCTTCTCCATGTTTTTACACATCAACACAAATCTTCTTCTTCTTTTTTTTTTTTGCAAACCTACCAGTCTTAATTTTGTGTGCTACTGGTTCCAGATGGAGGAAAAAGTATTCTCAAGCACATTCTCCAGCTCAGATGTTGACTATTTTGCAATCTATAATAGTTTGAGGAGTTTTTTACTGTGCTAATAATAATAATAATAATAATAATAATAATAAATTTTATTTATATCCCGCCCTCCCCAGCCAAAGCCAGGCTCAGGGCGGCTAACAACAAACAAATAATCAAACAATCAAATAATCCAACATTCTAAAACATTTCATTATAAAAATTAATTAAAATCAAATTAATGGCAACCGTTAAGCAAAGTTCTGTGCAGGTTGCCAGAGGAAGGAGTCAGGCTGGGCCCTGACCAAAGGCCTGGTGGAACAACTCTGTCTTGCAGGCCTTGCGGAAAGATGTCAGGTCCCGCAGGGCCCTAGTCTCTTGTGACAGAGCGTTCCACCAGATTGGAGCCGCAGCCGAGAAAGCCCTGGCTCTAGTTGAGGCCAGCCTAACCTCTCTGAGGCCTGGGACCTTCAGGATGTTTTTATTTGCAGACCGTAGGTTCCTCTGTGGGGCATACCAGGAGAGGCGGTCCCGTAGGTACGAGGGTCCTAGGCCGTATAGGGCTTTAAAGGTTAAAACCAGCACCTTAAACCTGATCCTGTACTCCACCGGGAGCCAGTGCAGCTGGTATAGTACCGGATGAATGTGATCTCGCAGCGAAGACCCCATAAGGAGTCTCGCCGCGGCATTCTGCACCCGCTGGAGTTTCTGGGTCAGTCTCAAGGGCAGCCCCACGTAGAGCGAGTTACAATAATCCAGTCTGGAGGTGACCGTCGCGTGGATCACAGTGGCTAGGTCAGGGCGAGAGAGATAAGGGGCCAACTGCTTAGCTTGGCGGAGATGAAAAATGCCGCCTTTGTTATAGCTGTAATCTGCGCCTCCATAGAGAGGGAGGTATCGAAGATTACACCCAAACTCTTAACGGACGGTGCTGGCACTAATTGCACCCCGCAAGAGATGGGAGTTGCCCCCAATCCCATATCGTCCCGTCCCAGCCAGAGGACCTCTGTCTTCGAAGGATTTAACTTCAACCGGCTTCCACGTAACCATCCAGCCACAGCTTCCAAACATCTGGTCAGTGTGTCTGGGGCCGAGTCAGGATGGCCATCCATCAACAGATAGAGTTGGGTGTCATCGGCATACTGATGGCAGCCCAGCCCAAAACTCCGGACAAGCTGGGCGAGGGCGCATAAAGATGTTAAAAGCATCGGGAGAGTATCGCACCCTGAGGCACTCCACACACCAAGGAGTGGCGGGATGACAATTCCCCCAAGCGCCACCCTCTGTCCCCGACCGGAGAGAAACGAGCGCAGCCATTGAAGGACTGTGCCCTGGATCCCCACGTCGGCAAGGCGGTGGTCCAGGAGTTCGTGATCAACCATGTCGAAGGCTGCTGACAGGTCTAGAAGAATCAGCAGCCCCGACCCGCCTCGATCCAGCTGCCTGCGGAGATCATCTGTTAGGGCGACCAGAGCCGTCTCGGTCCCATGACCAGCGCGGAAGCCAGACTGGAATGGATCCAGAGCCGATGTTTCATCCAGAAACCTACCAAGCTGTTCAGCAACCGCTCTCTCAATCACCTTACCCAGGAATGGAAGATTCGAAACCAGGCGGTAATTGGATAGATCTAAGGGATCTAATGATGTTTCTTTAAGAGCGGGCGCACCACTGCCTCCTTCAATTCCCCTGGAAATATCCCGGTGCCAAGGGACAAATTGATGATATCCCCCAGGGGGGCCCGCACCTCGTCTGGACACGCTCTAATCAGCCAAGACGGGCACGGGTCAAGAGGACAGGTGGTGGGCTTTCCAGCTCGGAGGAGTCTGTCCACATCGGCTGGGGATATCCGATCAAAGTGGTCCAATACTGGACCCGAGGACAGTCGAGGGCCTCCAGTTCCTTTATTGTATCCAAATTGGCAGGGAGGTCATGGCGGAGCAACAGGACCTTCTCCGCAAAAAAAGCTCACAAATGCCTCACAGCTGTGTGTCAGATTGTTATTTAAATTTGGCTGTCCTTCAAGGGACGTTAAAGACCTAATTATACTAAATAATTGCGCCAGGCGAGAGCTAGCGGATGCAATGGAGGCCGAGAAGTAAGACTTCTTAGCGGCCTTCACCGCCATCTCATAGGTTTTCATAAAAACCCTATAAGATGTTCTTGAGGCTCCGTCACGGGCACCCCGCCATACTCGCTCTAGCCGTCTGAGGTCCCGCTTCATTTTCCGAAGCTCCTCGGTAAACCAGGGAGCCCGGTTTCTGCGGAGTCGCAGAGGGCGCTTAGGTGCGATCTCATCTATGGCTGCCAGGAGCTGGGTATTCCAGCCCTCAACAAGCTCAGTCAATGAGTCGCCAGGGGAGCAAGGTCCCGCAAGGCTTGACGGAATCTATCAGGGTCCATCAGCCTCTGCGGGCGAGCCCAAATCGGCTCGCCACCTAAGCAGGGTGGGGGTGGAAAGTCAATCCTGGCTTTCAGAGCGTAGTGATCAGACCATGGCACCTTAATTGAAGGAGACATGATCACATCTATACCTACGCCAAAGATCAAATCCGGCGTGTGGCCTGCTTGATGTGTGGGGCCTGAAACAAACTGGGAGAGCCCTAGTGTTGCCATGGAAGACACCAGGTCCAGAGCCTGTGAGGAGGGAGTGGCATCAGCATGGATGTTGAAGTCCCCCAATACCAATAGGTTAGGGAACTCCAAGGCCCAGCCGGCCACCGCCTCCAGCAGGCCTGACAGGGTGGCTGCTGGTGCACTAGGTGGCCGGTACACCAGCCAGACAGCCAAGCTCACCTCAGAGCCCCACACTAGGCCAACACATTCAATGCCGGGGATCGATGGCGATGGTAGAGCCCTGAAAGGACAATCTTCCCGGATTAATAATGCCACCCCTCCCCCCCGGCCCACAGTCCGCAACTGGTGGAGGACGGAGAAACCCGGGGGCGCCATCTCTCGTAAGGTAGCTGTTGCCCCTTCGCGTACCCAGGTCTCCGTCACACAAGCCAGGTCGACCCCCTGCGAGGTAAAGAAATCTCACAGAGTGGCGGTTTTGTTGCCTATAGACCTGGCATTGCACAACACCAGTGACGGAGGTGAGTAATCCTTGCTCACCCTACCTCGTCCCTCGGGATGGGGCGCAGATTGGAAGGAGTACGAGCATATCCGTATCTCGATCCCCTTCGCCTATAACATCTGCCCCCACCACCATACCTCCCCGCCCCTCCACGGTAGCAATCCCAAGCCTCATACAAGCCTCCATTTACAAATAGAAAAACAAACCAAACCGAAAACAATTATACCTAAACAAAACCAATCCCCACCCCAAACCACAATAAAACGGAACAAAATAAAAATACATCGATAAAAACCACTGTTCACGGTGGTACAACAAAGTAAAAAGTAAAAACACCTTTAAAACACTTTAAAATATATAAAAACATTTTTAACATTTGCTGCAGCAGCACCAGTGTCCTTAAAACTGTAGCGGAGGTGAGTCTGGGCCCCGCCCCTAGGCCAGGTGGAGTTAGCCTGAAGAGGGAGCGGCCTTCCCCAACACTCACGGTGCAGCAGCAGCGATGTCCCAGTGCCCCAACGAGGCCTCTTAAAGCTGTGGCGGGGGTGAGTCTGGGCCCCGCCCCCTAGGCCTGGTGGAATCAGCCTGAAGAGGGAGCGGCCTTCCCCAACACTCACGGTGCAGCAGCACCCTATGGCTAATTATAGAAACTGCTGATTTGGGGGTTTTAAAGCAGGGGTTAAAAGAACTGCATTTCGCAACTTGAAATGTACTGCCTCAAAACTTATCAGTAATACTTAACAATATGCAGGCATTATTTGTGTTATACTCAGAACCTTTCATTGCGTTAGTTAAAATGATTGATGCTGGAGACTGGACTGCTGTTTTTTGCATTTCCAAAGTGAGAGCCCCCTTACCTGAGAGTAAGCCCTGTTCAAATGAATTTTTGAGTAGACATGCATATGATCGTGCTCTGAATTAACTTCTCCGGTGCAGCATGCTCCAATGTAGCAATAATTTGTGATCCCTTATGAACATTGGTCTTCACATTTATTATACCATTCATTGGAAGAGAACAATAAATCTTTATTGTAAGGAGAACCTGCGCTGACAAAAAGCTGCTCAGAAATGGTTTAAATAAATAAATACTTCACAGTTCTTCTTCA